CCCCCCCCCAAACCGTCTTATACCTTTAAAATGTAGTGTGACAACATGAGGTACTATGAGCTTTGGGGCAATGTAAATCATCACATTTTGTTGACTCAGTAAATAATTATTTAACGAAGACAAAGACGAAGCAATATGTACTAACATCTGGGTCAGAACCATTCCATCATCATCATCCAATCTCAGATCAGCGACAGACATTGGCGATCATGGTTCTCCATTCATTCCTTTGCTCGGATGCTCTTAATTAAAGAAGCTACGTTTCCCTGCTCTTTCCCAGTTACCCTTTTGTTTAGATTCCCGAAGTAGGTTGCTTTGGGTTTACCTTTGCCTCGTTTTCCTTCAATTTTGCTACTGAAAGCTAGATGTTCAAGACCTTTATGTCTATTCAGGTGTCCTATAAACTGTATTTGTAGTTTCCTGATTGTTTTTAACAGTGAGCGTTCTACGTGGGCTTCACCAAGCACTATCGTATTTGATTTATCTTCCTTCCATGATATTCTAAGAAGTCTCCTTCTGTTGCTTCTATTTTATTTTCACTGCCGTTAGTGATTGTCCAGCATTCACAGCCATATAATATGAGGGTTGACCATACATAGCATTTCAGAACTTTAATTTTGGTAGTTTTTGAGATGTTTCTATTTTTTAGGATTGTGCTCGTGTTATAGAAACTAGCCTAAACCATTGCAATATTTTTCCGTTTCATTCTGTGGAACATCTGGGATCAGATGTTATTTTACATCCCATAATTATGTTTAAACTGTAAGACTCGTTTGATCTTTTCACCTTTGATAATGAGATTACAAATAGGATTTGCTGCTTAGAACCATTTACTTGCAGTAAAAAGACAAATTGATACGAATTGATTCATATAAATTACTGATGAGAGTTTGATAGAAGTAAGTGCAGGCACTATAATGTTATGCAAAAAAAAAGCAATAGTTTTGAGTTGGACGAAATACAACTTAAGCCAGGGTGGCTTAACTCAGAATGAATTCATAATATAGACCCGTAGCAGTAGCCACTACCGTTGCTAGGAGACCACTGTTAGTTACACGCTTCAGAAACTTGGGATTCTCTTAGACTCCACGCCGGAGTAAAGATTTGTCGATTGTCTTGTATTTGATTGTTTCAAAAAGGGTATAAGGAATGGGGTATGAGCAACGGGGTGGGAGTTGGGAAGGTAAGACGCGTGAGGAAGGAGTTGGGAGTCGGGATGCGAGGGGGGGGGGGGGGGGGGGGGGGGGGGGGAAGGGGGAGGGGGAGAGGGAGAGGAAGAAGGGGGAGGGGGGGTATGAGGAGGTAAATAGGATACGTAAATGCTAGTCGTCATGCATTATAATCTTAAAAGGGTAAAAGGATTCGAGCAAGATTTTCAGAAACCAGTGCGTTGCATATTTTTATAGAGCTTTCTTAAGTTGCTTGCACTTTGTCCAAAACTGGCTTTGCGTTCGGGGGAAATATTCTTTGAAACGACACGCATTCTACATTATTATTCACTCGTAAGAGCTGGGTGTAAATTACAAACACAGAGCCAGAGGGCTTGTCAAAGAAATGAAGTTCCATCATTTTAACACAGTATATTATTCTAGTCTTCCACTATAACTGAAAATTAAAAGCCATTAATGATTTTTTTAAAAATCGGAATTAATTTAAGCTGTGGATCTTTCAGACTCTCTTGTTTCATGTCAGAATAAATGATCATGCATGGTGACAAAAATGACGACTACATTCATCATAATAGTGCCTCTTCGAAAATGACCACAGCGATGACAACAACAAGAAGAAGAACAACGTTTACGATACTGAAGACATGCTGTTACCCTATATAGAAGTGCACGTGTCTGTTCCTGCCTCGTGAGCTCATAATGTCGGTTATGGGGTGTCCTTCTGCTGACAGCTCAGATCACCGGGAGACAGAGGAGAAAAAGGATGGCAGCTACAACTCTGAAGCCTCTCACGATGTTCACCGACTCCTTCTGAGGCTTGTCTTCTCTCAAGAGCCCTTCGTTGTAATGCCGCTTAAAGTTCCAGTCTCGTCATTCTTGGAGGGACAAAAAAAACCACACAAAAAAACTGCACGTTAGTGTGTATCATAATGGTTTTGAACACCGGTATACATTGTTATTTCCGTAGTTATAAATGGTTGCGTCATCCAACTGGTAGATCCTACTCTTTTACTACCCTCCCCCTTTTTGTTTCTGTGGAATACCACTTCTTGTCTTCCTCGCCCGGCTTGACTACCTATTGCATCGATGCACAGCAGCAACTGCTTGGTGTGATAAGATGAAAGATGCAAAGCATTCCGGGAACTTGGTCTAGTTAATTGACTGTTCCGGTTCATCTATATTTTCGTGAAAAATCTTTTTTATAACCACAGCGGGAGCTAAAATGCAGATAAAAAGCTTGATCTCTTCTGTGGGCACGCATGGCATCATGGGACTGCATATCATTTATAAAGACTGAAGAGTGCTTGTACAGACATTTAAAAAAATCAAGTGTCGGCCTGTTGCTTTTGCATTTTTAGCACTGCATTGTATTCACTACCGACTTTAATTTGGTCCAGTATATAACATATATAAATATATATTATGT